GTGTGTGTGTTTGTGTGTGATAGAACAATTAAGTGGTAATAGTAACAATTAATACCGTTGCTCCATTTTGTCTTCTGGCTCAGACTGGCTATCAATAATGATAAGTGCATACCCATTTGTGTAGTTGCTGCAGTGAGAAGACAGTTGAATAATTATTTTCAAATACATAATATATGCATGACAGTCATATTTACAAAAGGATGTCGATCCTCTTCCTGTTTTTTCAATACATTGGGTTCTAAACTGACAACAGCACTTTTGTCATACTCCTGCACAATCCTTGTAAACATTTAAAATGGATGCAAATATTTTTGGGTGTTTTTTGTATCGTCTTCACTAAGATGTCAGATATTGTGGGTGTCATTTGGAAATGTATGAAAGTATAATTGTTCTGCTTCCTGGCAATGTTACCCACTGTGATTGGAGGCTATACAAACAAACACATGTACAAATAAAGATACACACCAAACAACTGTGTCACGATGCAACTGTCAACATCGTTTACCTATAGAAGTTGTTCTGACCCGGGGCAGACTGGACCTCTTCCTGGAATGGGGTTGGTGCTCTATCCTATTGTTACCCAGGAAATAAGTGCACAAAAAAAGGTATTTCTTGATTTCATGTTCACAAATTCAAACCTACATGGTATAATTACATTTTTAGTCTTACCCGATCAGACGCTGGTTGTGGGTGCCTTAGAGGTCTGATAAAGGTAAACAACAAATATATTCAAACTACTGTACTGTTAAAACATTCTGCTTCTTGTGGCACAAAATAATATGTTGACAATGTTTTATTTTACCCTGGCAAATTGTTGTCGATTCGTGGAGTGCTCACTTTTGGAACATTTGGAATGTCCCACACCTGCATACACACAAATGACTGAAATAAAATAAATTCACTTTAATTAAGAATAGATGCCACGATAAATCCAAAATGACCAAGGTACATTATATTGTTGACCGTCCTTTAACTCTCACATCAGGATTTACATTGGGGCACAATAAACCAACTCCTCTCTGCACCTATAATATATCTCAACCCAGTCTCATGGCATTTCGTGTTCACCAACACGATTTTTAATCTATTGATTCGTGTTCACCAACACGATTTTCCCATTTTTTTCGTGTTGCACAGATTTGAAAAGCAATGTATTTCTATTGGTAGTCTCACGGCATTACGTGTTATAGGAAGACCGGAAGCTGTGTGGTTCATAAAAACATGTTCTTACTCAATAGCAAGCCACAATTATTTCTTTTATTTTAAATCGTATAATTCCGGACTTTTGCTGCCGTCTGTGAGGAAAATAAATGGGGCTCAGAGCCTCAGAATACTGAAATCTGTATTTTTAAATCTTTTTTTCCTTCTAATTTGTTATTCTTTTAAAAATACCATCTTTACCATCTGCTATTTGTTTGATCATAGTGTTGAAGCGTTAACCATCAAAGTTGTCATTTCAATACATTCTGTTTCTAATTAAACATTAGACAAACTTCTGCTAGAGTCTGAACATCCGTTTATCATTTCAAGTACCTGTGAAAAGGCCTTTGTCTCCATCAAAATGCATCATATTTATGACCTTTCGTCGCAGGATGAAATCACTGCCACTCTCTTTTCTTTCGTCGCTCTTTCATCTCAGCCAACCAGAGACCTGTTGTTGTTTTCATTTTAAAGTCCTGTGGCCCATAAAGTAGAAAAGCGTCATATTCACAGCTTTAAAAGGGAATCCAAAATGTCACAAGCTGTCCATAAAGTTTTCATAAATGTCACCGCGACACGAAACAGCCAATAGCAATTAGGTGTTTCCTGAAAGGCCACCTCTTCACAATAAAACGCTTTTTTACTGAAGCACAGGAAGACCCTGGTGAACCAGCAGCTTAACTCAGCTCATTATTCCGCTGGATTTCCATCTCAATTAAATGTGTAATTATGGTAAGATCTTTTCTCTTGTTGTAAGGCCGTTTCTTCACTTGTTTGAAGAGCCGTGTTTCTATGTTTCTCTGCTCTATGTAACTGCAACATCACCTTGCTAAAGTGTGATCGCTATTTTAATTCAAGAAACGGTTTAATTCAAGTCACTCCAGCGGCCGGTGATGACGGACACATCAGAGCCTCGAACACATCCTCCAGTCTCCTAGCAACAGAGCGGCCTCTCCGCCTGTTGACTGGCATTAACAAGTGGAGCTGATAGTGAAGCTCTTTAGCATTAAGTACCATCTCCTCACTGGGAGCCTTTTACAATGTGAGCCAGGATTTAAAAACATCTGGATGGGATTTTGGTTGAAATATTTGCTATTTTCTTTTCCTTTTAACAAATCAATTTCCTTTTCATATCTAACACAGCACTGTCAATAGTTTATTGTTATTTTTACCAGTCTTATTCTATAATAGCTTGTTTTTATTTTATTCTGTTGGCTTTTTAATGACTATTTTATGTGTATTTCATTGTTTTTAAGATGTAATCAATTTACAATGTCTTAATGTTGTTAGCAAAGCACTTTGAATTGCCTTGTTTTTGAATTATTCTATATAAATAAATAAATGCTTTATTAACAACCAAGTGTGGTCGAGTAAGTTAAAATAAAAAATAAAAGCTATGTGAGTCAGCTGTTACTTCTCAACAGGGATGGGAACAGTTCAAAGTAAGAGAACTTTTATAAATGCTCTTGGATATCAATATTTGTAGGCTTCAAAATAAATCTGAAATGAATGTCAACACCCACACTAGAGGAACAGCCTCACGCCACAGAGCCACCAACAACAACACATGATCTTTCTATAGAGGGACATTGGCAGCCCGTGCATACAATTGATAATCCAACACATGCCTTCCTCTGCTGCACAAGAATGAACAAGAAAAGAGAATAAAGTTAAGAACCCAGAGGTGGGAGAAGTACTGAGATCTTGTACTTGAGCAAAAGTAGAAGTACCAGAGTCTATAAATACTATGTTACAAGTAAAAGCATTCAAAATGTTACTCAAGTAAAAGTACAAAAGTATTAGCATCAAAATATACTTAAAGTACCAAAAGTACTTATCATGAAGATTAGCGCATATCAGAATAATATAATATGATATGTTTTATAATTATTGATGCATTAAAGGTCCCCTATTATACAGTTTTTCATCAATATATTATAGGTCTCAGATATATACAAAACATGTCTCTGAAGTGTTTGGCTCCAAACATCAAACAGATCATTGCAGCATTACCCATAATCCCCTCTGTTTCAGCCCTGTTTCAAAAGTGCTGATTCTCTGTCTTTTACTTTAGATGAAAACGCCCCTCTAAGAGATATTTGGTTAAAAACAACACAATGGTGCTCTAGGAGGAGATTCAGGTGATAAAGGGGGGGGGGGTTACCTTGGTTGGTTATTGGCTAATGCAGTGGCTCCCAATCTTTTTCAGTCAGGCCCCCCTTGTGTAATATTTAATCCGGCTCCCACCGAGATTGGTAGAATTAATTGTATATTGTACAAACATTACATTTTCTCTGCTAATAATAACAAGACAAAAAGATCCAACTATAATTGTATATATTATTATGGATTGAACATGAACAAAAGTGCTTGTATTGGCAGATTATCCTGTGCCACGAAATAATGAGGCCTAATTGAAATAATTACAAGTATTGCTTATCGATCCGGTTCTTTAACAGTATTTTTATTATAGGTTATTTTTGTTATTTTTTAGGGGAAAAACTAAACAAATTAGAAACAGAATTCACATTGATTAATTGTATAGTGTGGATTATGGGCTGCTAGCACAGTAGTAAGTAGATTTACTCAAGTACTGTACTTATATTGAGGTACTTAACCTGTTGAACCCCATCGACCCGCCCCCGGGCGGAAAAACACATCATCTTCAGGAAACAGCGTCTGAGGGCTTGTTGATTTTGGCATTATAGCTGAAAGGCTTGTCGTGGGCTCGTCCACTTTTCTTTTAACTGCCGGTTGTGTTAAAAATGTGTCAATTTGATTGATTTTACGAGTAAAAAAAGTTGTTTACAACTTCTTCCCAAGCTTCACGCTCCCCCCCTGCAATAGCGGTGCGTCACCACTGGGCTAATGGTTACACAAGCCAAAAAATTGTTATGACATCATAAAGTGGCCAAAATCTGATCAGCTCGTTTTCAGACAGGTTTTCATATAAATGGATCAGGACAAAAAGTGAGCCAATCTTTTTTCCTGAAACTTTCAGAATCTCTTTACACAGAGGGGACACATGTTTATGTATTAATGACATGAAAAGGTGGATTTTTCATAATAGGTGACCTTTAAAGTGTTATCAAAGCTGGTAAAGGTGCACCCAGTTTGAATGGCTTTGTATACTGCAGGGTCTTATTTAAGAGTTGATTATATTCACATCATTAATCCACGTCTGTAGAGTAACTAAAGGTATTAAATAAACGTAGTGGAGTAAAAGTACACTATTTACCTCTGAAATGTAGTAGATTAGAAGTACAAAGTAGCATACAATGGAAATACTCAAATAAAATACAAGTACCTAGAAATTGTACTTAAGTACAGCACTTGAGTAAATGTGCTTAATAAAAGGACAATAAATCAAAAGTAAATGGACAGCATGGCGGAAGCAACAAGCATTATTACGCTACATACATTCAATAACTTGGCGCTTCTTACAGAAACAGCAGCATATAGAAAAACTCCAAAACAGACACACACAGATGTAGAAACAATATAAAGTCCACAGCATCTGCAGATCTGAGTAATTCTCCCACTTCAGATTAGTCTGTTCCCGAGTGAAAATATATGAAACCTTTATTGATATTTATGACCAAGGTTTATAATTAAATACTAATTAATACCTCCAGAGCTTACGCCTGAGCGATGTCCTCCACATCCTGCCTGTCAGGTAATTAATAGTCGCCATTTATTCACTTTCCCAACAAGCCCGCAAACGCAGCTTTCAGTTGAGTTAAGAGATGATTTCACTCCAGCCCATTACCACATGAAAAGAAGCAGCCTGAATTTAATATCAAAATGGCCCCTGTTGATAACATTCGACCTGCAATAACGCTTCAGCAACCAACGTAACCGTGTAATGCAATCCCCCGTGAGATTTACGATAGAGAAAAGATTAATACATTAAAGTTAATTTACATGGCTTTGTTACATTTCACCTCAGGCTATCCATTACCTTTATATTGTATTAAAGTGTGAGGATGAGTTAATTAATGTTTTACCAGACTTTATCTGCCATCTCAAACTTGGTCTTTGAAGGCTGTGCTAAGGTTTGACTGTGTTATTATCCGTTTAGGTGGATTTCCTTACGCTTTAAGTTTGTCCACATGACAACATTCACCTTTAATCATGTTTTTATTATCAGTCCTTTAACATCCAGAGGTAGGCTACTGAGTTTCGCTTCTGCTCTATCACTAACTTGTCTGATTGTGTGGAATACAACCGACAAGAGGCTACACCGGACACAGTGAGGTTAATTACTCAAACTCTAAAGTAAAATGTAAAACAAGGCAAAATGTATTTGTGTAACGACTTAAATATTTCCTACAAAAGTCAATGAAATGTATTAAAACCAGACCTCTACAAAATGAAAATGAAAATCACAAATTGGGAAAATTAGTTATTTAAAATTAAATGTGGTTAAAAAAATCTAATAGGTTTGAAAAAAACTTGTTTGTGCAACATGTTGCTCAACTTACTAATGTAAAAATAATTAACTATAAAAGGTTTTTGCTGAAAAAAGACTTTACAGCAGTACTAAACTAAACATCCCATTTTATAATCTCTTTGTATGTTTTGCATGCACCCATCTTAA